GTACGTGGATATATGATCCGTTCGTGAGGTGTAGCGTGGACCAATAGCACATACCGTCTGCGCAAACACAGCGTGCCAATCTACGTCACTAGGGTCGATGCTCTCCAGCTCAGTGGCACTCATATCGCGTAGTATCTTTAGTTTGCTGTTCACCATCTGAGTCGAGGTTCATCGGCGAGCCAATACGTTTTAAATTATGCATGAATTCATTTATAAGCCCTGATCTCAGAACATGGACAATTATCTGTGTATACTCATCTACTCACATTTTGTACGCTGCGTGCTTACAATTACCACAGTTTTTTTTATTGGTTCTGTCAAAGACACGCAGATCGACTTTGAAAGTAAACCAGTGCACAGAATGATAAATTATCATACAAATATTGCAACTAATATTTCTCAGTACATACAAGATGGATCGATGTGTTGACGCACCACAACCTACTGTCTTATAATAAACACAGCACATATATTTTAAACTCCATGGCTACGAGTGGAATTTGTAGTCGTCGAGTGCATACCCTACGACTTTCATAGTAGATCTTTCACATATAATTATACAATAAAGTCTGGTGCATAGCTCGGTGTTTTCATGTATGAAAGTAAAGTTGCCCGACAAATCCGCGATAGATAGAATAATATCCGACATACTTAATGCATACATCATACAACCCACGGAGCAGAAACGGAGCAGAAACGGACATAAAATTCATCGTAATTTCTAAATTGGGAATTACGCAGTGCGTGTGATAGGGAATACAACCTTGTTCGTCAATTCTTCCGCTTCTGTCAGACCCTCAGAGCTTTTTGCTTTCTGTCGCAACCGACCAGCCTCTGTGTATAGCAATTGCATTATCACGTCAGAATACAGTCGGACTTCAACGTCAAACTCGTGGATGCAGCATTTCCATTGAATAAATCGTAGAGTATTGATAACAGTTGTGCGCAACGCTATCGGTCCACAGTAGTATCTCTGTGATACATGTGGTCTTGTGCGGTCATGTGTGCACGTATATACGTCTGTGTGCGTTAAAGCTCGTGCAGTTGCCTCTGCGAGGCAGAGTGTGTGTGCGTATTCCGATACGCGTATTAGTGCAAATTATCGGGCTATCAAGCAGCGTCTTGATAATCATCGCTGTGCAACGTATTGTCGAGGCTTGAGTGGGATTGTGTGCGTGCAGTTACACAAATAAGTTCCACCAAACAACCATGGCAATAGAACAACACAAGTTATCAACACACCACCATAATCGAAGACACAGCATAATTGACTCTCGTAGCTGAAAACCTAGTGCCTATCAACGGTATATGAGAACATACACGCCATCTCTGCCTAGCACACAGGTTGCTGCATGTACGAATTCACACATACACACTCACAAGAGCCGAGCGACAATAGAGTACGTTCCACATCCTTATCGAGGCCTATCCATCGACTTTGTGAACAAACAAGCCCCGAAATTATCCACAGCACAGACAACACCCGCTGTAGTGTGCTACACGCTCACACTGGTGAACACCACACAGGGCGTACACTTTCTCACCCAAACACGGGCAGATCGCACCCATACCCTTAAAATGCACACTGGAAAAAATATGTTATACGCGTCGACCACATGTACACCAGAAGCAAGGAATATTATGGGTACAGATGCTACAGATGCTAAGTACGCTTACCCCTTACGAGCACATCTGACACGGTGTGTTTGTGGTAGTGTCTGATGGAGTTGCGCAGCGCCTCCATCTCTTTCGGAGTCCATTTGTTGAATCGGGGTTCGGCTAAGTACTTGGGTGGGTTGCTTTGCAGAGACAAAGCGTCCTGCACAACGTGGGCAAGGATAAAATGTGTGAGTGTTGTGCATTATTGTGAACGTTGCCCACCATGTCAGCAATAATAACAAAATATGGAGGGAAAAGCTTGAGCATATATAAAGTGTAGCGAACGATTATATAGGCATGCGTGGCTTGCATATATAGATAAAATGATGCGTAACTTGTAAAAAAAAAATCTATCAAACTGTGTTAATCATTGGCTTTTCGAACTGAAGGTAGTATACAGAGTGTTCGTAAATACTGCTAGAGTCAGCAGACCATCTCTCTATATCTCCACTGAGAAAAAATGTATGCGAGTATCCATATACATAGGTCTAGGTATATACTTTCGAATCATTTAACCATACAACACAAATACGCTCGTTACAAAGCAATAAACCAATGCTGAAAGCACCTAGAAATATCTAGGGAAACTACAATACAATCCGAAAGTGATCGCGCAAGTATTCGACAGCCAGTAGATCTAACTACAATGCCACAGAACTCTGGCAGTATGCGCAACAAGATTTGAACTATGTGTACAAGATCGAACGCGGTCTATACAATACGTCGCATCAACACAGCGGCATTTTACGAGCCTATGAAAGTTGGAGCAGCAACTACGGACAACAAAACTATTCAGGTGCAGCTGCAAGTGCTATACATCTCATAGACCCGGGATTATGTTGCCCTGTTTCATTGTCTCAGCCGAAGCTAAGACTATTTACAAACGCAGTCTATTTCGTACCGATGAAGATTACTACATGACCAGAACTTTGTCAATACCTTCCAATGTATGAATGGTTGCTACACTCGCGTTGTTGTGGATACAATGAAAGTAGCTCCCCAAACAAAGGCTCATGCGCCCAAAAAAGAGATTGAAATACAAGGCATCCAGCATTTATTATCATAGACCATGTATACATATATACAATATAGGTATCTGGCATATCAAATACACGTGTGCTTGCGCACGTATCGATATACGACGCATAATGAGCTTTCAGAGCATTGATGGCTACCGGCAGTGGTCATCGCGCCATGCACTATACTGTAGGAGCACTAACTGCCTTCTGCACATAGCTCTTTGAATTAAAAGCTCCTCACATAGACAAACTATGTGAGTTTGCGAACAGATTTCACTCTCGTGAGTTCTGCATTTCATGACTTGAATTGAGCCACATGATTTGAGTAAGTAAGATAACGCGATGACATCGTATTCAGAGCATACGTTATTTGTAACAATACTGTTCAAAACTATATTCACGGCTCAGCCTGCAACGAACCTTGCCATCACAGGTACAGAGCATTGAATTTTCAAAGTACACATATACACGAGAATTGCTCTTAGAGTTCAGAGCTTGTATACATTTGAGAGGAAGGCGCAGGCTCCAAAAAAAACAACTGACGGCTCTGCTATTATCCCCATGCAAGTGGACAACGCTTATGCATCTGGTACACACTACACAATCACATATATCAAACACACACGGCGCAAACACATGCATCAGACACATCACCACAAACACATACATCAGACATACACATATGAAATACACAGTACAAACACCTACTTCAGACATACGCACCACAAACACATACATTATGCACAAACCACAAACACATGCACCAGGAACACCACAAACTTATAGATCAAATACACTCCACAAACGTACTGAGACGCCAAAGGTTGCACCTGGGTTTGTACACATCAGAAATGTCCGCGTACAGATGCACGAGCTTACTGAAGACGCACATGAAGTAAACACTCACACCCAGAAGTTACTAACAGAGACATTCCACACTGTAACGAACACACAATGGCTTAACAAGTCAGAAATGACAGACAGAGACTTACTGCCTTGCGACAAACATGCAATGCCTTAACAAATCTCAAGTGACAAACAGAGACATAACACAGCGAACAGACACGTAATTCCCTAACAAGTTACGTGACAAACTGAGACATACTACATTGCTGGGTGGGCCGCGTGGCATGCTTTCATCAGGTGTCGGTGCGTCACAGAACCACGAGCCATCAACGGGAGTGGGGTCGTGTTCGCCATCGAAAACCACTTCAGCACGCTTTCCGCTGTTGTGCATATCAAATCTTCGTCTGAGAGGCTCTACCTGTGTGTAGCAGCGCTGGATGTGGGCCATGCGCGAGCGTATGCGTGCGAGCTGGTTTTTTAACTGGGTCTGCAGGCGTACATTTACGGAGAGAGCCTCGTTCACACTGGCCATGGTGGTGGTGTGGATGAGAGAGGTTATATCCACTGCAAACGCCCGACGCCGTATCTCGGCTGTATGTTCCGCGTTGTTAAAGTCAAGTCCTTCCCCGTATGCATATTGCGCACTCGCATGTGGATACTGCTCGGTTTGGGCATACGAGTGTGGCTCTGCCAGTGGCGGTGAGTGTGTTCGTGCGAGTGTACGCGTACACGAACTAACATCGTCTGTACTCACAAGTGACGATAGGCCTCCACCCATGCCGTATGCCACCTGAGTTCCCGCGCTCTCACTGCCTGTACCAGCCCCTGCTACTGTCCTATTGCCACTGGACAGCGGCTGGGCGCTCATAGAAAAAGGGATGGAATTCGCTTCGGATGTATCTATGTGCGTGGTTGTCCCTATACCCACCCCCCTGACTCCGGAGTTACTTCCCGGAAAAATTCTTAGAGAGGGTAGTTCTGCACTCACATCCGCACCCGCAGTCGCGAGTACTGGCGCTGCCCCGGACAATTTAGTGCTTTGTGTATTTGTATAAGCACTTCTTGTGCTCATCCCTGCATTCTCTACTCCTGTATTCGGACCGGCACCCCCAATAGACCCTGCAGAAAGTACCACACCTTTCCCCTTCTCAGTCTGTGAATCTGGTAGCGCTGTTGTGGATTGTTCTGTGGATATTGTGACTCCAGACGTAGATCCAGTGGTTATTGGTGCAGGTTTCAGTGTGGAGGTAGGCATAGCTACTTTCATACGCGATTTTGGCCGAGAGCGTTTTCTGGAGAGCATCCGATCGAGGAAGGTCATGTGCGGGCCTGAGCTAGACTGTGCCTGCTTCTGTGTCGGTGTTTTCTTCTTAGTCTGTGTGGGTATCTGTGTCCGCGTTTGTGCGTGTGGTACTCTAATACTTTGTGTGTCTATCTGTGTCGGAAGTGTGTTCTGCTGTGGCTTCTCTCCCGCGCCCACCTCTGTAGGAGTGGCGTGTGTAAGGGACCCAGCCCTAGTCTTTACCTTTAATGGCACAACCGCATCCGCTTGTGACCCGGGATGTAGCTGTAATTGTCCATGCCTTCCCTGTGCTGTACTACTTCCTGCACCTCCAAGACGATCTACAACATTGCTGCGCTCACGCCCGATACCCTTGAACCGTTGATTCACACTGGCCACCACCTCAGTATCCCTCATATCTCCACCCAACCCTACGCTTCCCCTCTCACTCCCCATAACATTCCTACCTATGTGGCTGCGTCCGATACTACTCCCCATATTTCTGCTAGCCCTACCCACACCTGCATTCTCATCGCCACTGTCAATGTCCCCTATCCCGTACAGCCCACTCCAATCGTGGTCCTCCACCCCCTCGCCCTCCGCATAGACCTCCGCCTGTGCCTGCGTCAGCTTCTCCAATTGCGCGGCCTGTTGTAGGGCGTCCATCTCGCGTTCCTCCTCATCATCCTCCGTGCCTGGCATAAACGCATTGCCGGTCTGTGTCAAAGTGGGCGAGGCATGTGGCGCCTGTACTGACTCGTCTGCTGGAGTGGGTGAAGATAGTAACGCATGAGCTAATTACACACTTGGGTTCATTGCGGATTGTTGGTAAATATGCCAAGCAACTGTTGACCTGCGCCGCCAATTGTGATAGTTACTAAGCCTGAAGATCAAATGGCGCACAAACCATTCGCACACTTCCGTACGCTGCGGATAGCTTGTGTATATCAAACGTGTCGTGCATACCGGTGTCTTGGATTGACCTTGGAAACCGTCGGCTACTAGCAATGCAAACAACACGAACGCGAACATGCTTTGAGATACGCCCAGCCAAGCCACTTCATACATAGGCGTGGACCGTAGAACACGTTACTAATATTTGAAGCATGTGACATGGGAAGATTTTACGCGCAAGTGTATTTTTTTTCTCGGTGTGTATATGTTTTTACCACTTATCCATCTGTGGATTTACTGCTATGCAGGACGACAATCTTCAAGTCTATTTAAATGTTCATCCCCGTGTAGACTTCTAATAAGCAGAAATATACACAGCTAGAAATATCAAACGATAGACAGCTATCGCAGAAAGCCATACCTCTGGCAGTAGACATATTTGTATTTAGAAGGCATATTCGTTCAGCATAGGATAATGGAGCATTAATTGACGCAACGGAAATGTGTATATGCATACGTTTATAAAAGCATGAACATGTAAATATAGTATATGTAAATATTGTACAAGTACATATAGTGAGTGGAGGTGGAGGCTTGGTATGAATAAAGCTATGCACATACATAGTTTCTCAATAAAGTTGTGTGCTGCACACACATGATCTAGAGCACACACTACTATACATGCTAATGTCATATGTCATGTAACACCGTAATAGGAATAGCACTATAAGGTCTTATCTGGACAGAGTGTCGTGTTATCAATTCTTGACAGGAAAATCCCAATGGCGTACCAGATACCTTCAGCATTGTAGCGTGAGCGCAATACACAAAGACACAGGCATTTGTTTACACACACGCCAGACCTTTACACGAGGAAAGTATGCGTACACATAAACGAACTGATTCAACTCTACATACCGTTCAAACCGTCAGAATCAGAGAGGAGCTCCTGTTGTGCCTCTCGCAGAGATCTAAGATGCTCGGCATCTTCATCATCTGACAACGACATCGAATAGACTGCACTCATAGTCCCGGGTACGCCATCATTCACCCGCTGTACACCGGCTAAGCCTGATATAACCGGTAACGCAGTTTGTGTACTACTACCACCGTCCTCTATGCCACTCGTACTTGTATCCGCAACCTGACTTCTGCTAAGTGGTATATCCGCTCGACTACCGAGTATATCCTTACTGACACTGCCTTGAATAGCACCACTGACTAAAGGACTCAGGTCTTTTGTGTGTTGAGTATCTGGGTCACGAAGGCTGGTAGCGGCGGGGATGCCTGGTTGCTTAGTTACGGTTGTATCTGCATCCTCTTCGTTGCCATCATCGACCATGACTATCTCTCCATCACTGTTGACTGTCAGTAGTTGCCCCGAGGGCTCTTCTCTCACACTACCGTCTGGCACATCGGCTAAGAGTTGTTGATGTTCAAATGCCAAATTCAATGTCAGACATAATTTTAAGCGTTTAACATCTACATATGTATTGCTAGGAGTGCCCCTGATGTATTTTGTAGCACAGTGCGCTATGCGTACCACAATTGCGGTTTTCTACAAGAATATTGCACTCATGCATCTTGATATAACACTTTATATCGGCATACAATTCAAAGATAGATAACTTCGTTTAGAAAAAATTACTATTTAAGTGCATAAGCACACATATAAACAATAACCGATCAGATATACATCGTGAACATCATTCTGCGTGAATTCCAACGTGTCTTCGAGGCATGTCTAGATAACTGCCTTATGCGAGCACTGTGCAAATTCAACTGCGTACGCATCTACTAGTACTCACGGATCGGAATAGGACACCCTGCGTGTGTATGTGATGCTACAAAGTGAGTGAAGCTGCGACAGGAGTAGTCAAACACCTCCGCTATATAATTCAATTTGTACATCTCATATTTACACTGAGTGTCTTTGAGCCCGAAAAGCAACCTACAGGTGCGACGCGCTTTACGGCGCCTTTGAAGTAATAAAGGTGCCCACGTTGGCCTACTGACATACATGCAGATATACATTCTACGCATGAACAAACCATGTATAAAAAAAGCGCCACACACGCACGGACACAGAGATATGGGTAGTAGTGTAGGGCATAAGACTAGGCCCGAGGTGATGAGTGTATTATGATCACAGTTCATACCAACAACGAGCACAACGACCTTGAAATACGTCCTTTAGTCGGTAAATAGCGCGCATTAGAGCCCTACGTATTGCTAAATATGCCAGCAAATCATATACTCATGACATGCAGTAGACATTGAAGTATTTTTTTTATAGCAGGAATCAGGTAATACTGCAGGCACGACTACAACAGTCGTCGCCTCGAACAGTCCAAACGCAATTGATGTGTAACGCACATGCAAGAATGAAAGTAGGTCTATAAGAGAAAGAGCGATGGTAGCAGAATAGACAAACCACGAGATGCTGAAACAAACAGTTGAATAGGTGAGCTCACATACCCTCGCGCACATATCGAACTCGTGCGTAGCGGCGCATTTCGTTTCTTGCGCACATTTAGTCAACAATAACTAACAACACAGCCACTCTATACACAGTGTCGTCGTCAACAAGAACTCGGAATTCAACAAAAGAATTAGAAGAATCCACGTCTGTAATAAACCATATATAGGAATACAGTCCACACCCGTAGTGTAAAATATATAGAAAATATATGGCATACAGTACTTGTTGTAGCAAACGATGCACGGAGAATCACACGCGGGTTCATGCACAACTTTGAATGAAGTACAAACGATGTTAGCACACGTATGTAATGTACATCGCATACCGTCTACACTCCCATCCATCAACGAGCCAATACTATAGTCCGACAAGTCCGCCTCGGCATCCTCCGCTGCCATGCGCAACAAGTTGCTCTGATAGTCATCTTCGTCACTATCACCATAGGATCCCATGATGTAGAGTAGTACCTGTTATACGTTAGCGTATGCAGGTGTACCTGCTTACGAGGGCTGATACGAGATTGCTGAATGTATGCACTTCCTCTGAATTTACAAGCTAGATTGTAAGGACTAAAGTAATCCAGTGAGTCCAGCCTATAAACCGCAAACTGGGGGCACCCACATTGCCGCCACACTGGCCACTCCTTGTAGCTTTACAGTACGTTCCGACGCCGTACGGTACGTACAATGCACTATTCGTATGGTTCACTGATGCTCCCCCTCCTTAGTTCAATGTATGACACGATTACACATTATAGGATTCGCTTGTGAAATTGATGACTTTATATTGTTGCTTTTAGTACACAGATAGTAAAAGTAAATACGTACGCGTACAACATTAACGTATGTGTGTATTGATATATTTTTATTCATATAAAAAAAATACTAATAATAAAGGTACCAACACGCAAGAGACCTATAGAATATTTACTAAAGTTACGACTTATTCCGTGTCGAATATACACGTTGCAATTGTTGTTGTATATATAAATACTATGTACTTCTCGTACGTACTCATTGTATGACAAGTACTTCTGCCCCCTATCTTTGAACACTTCCGATTGCTTTTAGAGAACCGTCTCGACTACTTACTGGTCGTACACTATTTGGGAATGACCCAGGTCCAGAAGTTATCTAACATTATTTCATCAGGGACACAGCTAAAATGTACAGCTGTAGGTAAATGTAAATATACTTTGCAACTAATGGCCTACTGACAGAAAGCACAAGTTTCACACAAGCGGCTCTCACAGAGACAAATATGCACATATATAAATAAATATACACTTTCAGGTATGTTAAACTCGTATCTTATCAAAATACAAAAACAACGTGAGCTAGAGTATGTATATGACATATAAAAACTCTGATTTCAAAGTATAATCGCTGCTGTAGTTTGAATTGATAGGTATTGAAATTTAGGTTCAATTGCTACCGGCATGTTGGCATGAACGTGACAATATCAGTTCCCTGAGCAAATGCATAGGACTTAGAAAAAAAAATCAAAAGTATAGTGCCATATATATCGGCTTCAGCGTCCAATTTTGTCAATGACGTTGGCTTTGATTTATTCATCTCGGGATAAGTCCGGTATGCTACAGTCATGCGCGTGAGAGGCAGTAGATGTTGTTTCGTATGCATTTGTACAGGTTTCAGTTGAGTAAATCATTAAACATAACTACACTTCAGATCCTGGATAAGCATTCTTTATTGCATAGTATTCGTAGCAGCTTGTGACATCATTCAAAAACTTACGTGACCACACATCTAATGCACATAATAACATACAAAACATTATAGTATCATCGCGAGTGGTGGAGAATATGTATAAACGGGCAACTGGAAATTGATTCATACACGTCGTACACAGAAAGACAAAGAAAGGTGCACTCTTCTTCTGTCACACCTAGTTGTTGACTAGTATATATGATTTTGAATATATGAAATTGCGCTTACATCTGCGAACACATCAACGAACTACTGCGAAATTCCCGCTTCATCCACCGGTAACCAATAACCTCGGAACGATACCACACACATATACACCAACTAAGCGCGTAAACGATGGAATAGTAGTTGCAATACACACTTCACGTTATTCGCAACGAAAAGCAAAGTCTTATTTTCTTTTTGTAAAATGTACAAACGGAGAAGTATCTATACATTTCAAGACTGTATATTTGCAAACACTGGCACAGGCCCGCTACACACGTGCAAACGCAGGACAAAGAATATTCCCATAAATCGTCAACGGGTGCACACTATCTCTAGCAGATCGATATACAGGCAGCGTTTATATGTATGCATGTGTTGAATGCTTGTCTGAGAAAATATAGTCCAAAAAGCATGTTTATTTATCAAGCTTAAAGAACTTGGCCCATTGCCGTAATTTGCCACATCGGTTTGTAGAAGCTGCCTTCCAATACAAGCTCCAAGGGGTGTTATTACATTTACAGATACGTTTATATATATAAAACCCCACAGCCACCCGCACATTTACTTTCGAAGATATGTATATTTGTTCATAAAAATTTGAATACGTACTCGTGTACACATGTACACTCACCCACCCACCCACATATATATAAATTTTATATATATATATATATTCATCTATATATATATATATATA